AAAGGTTGTACTCGTATACATACAATAGGTAACGAATCGTTGAAATACACTATTTTATATGAAATAAGCCTATAAATTGCACCATAATGCACACGAATGTATTAGGTTGATAGGTTTATATCGGATATAGCCAGGACGAGTTAACGGCAAGTGTCTAGCGCAACTTCCATAAGCTATCGATTTGGACTGCAACATGGAATAAGTAACACCTATGCCACAGTAATATTATTAGGAAAATGTATTGTTTATGGTATAGTGACATACAATCTACCACTATGTGGAACCAGCTGCCCACTGCAGCTGAGTTTCATCATCTGACATCAAGGCAGAATACAAAATACCATCCGTATCACCTCGACGTCCGTCGTTCCAAAACTGAGCGTTTCTTAAGGTAATTTTTGTCGCGCACAACCACTTTGTGGAACCAGCTGTCCACTACAGCTGTGTTTCATTATGTGCCGTCAAAGCAGACTACAAAATTCCATCTGTATCACCTCGACGTCCGTCGTTCCACTTCTAAAGGCATCTTTTGCCGCGCACTTCCACTATGTGGAACCAGCTGCCCACTGAAGTATTTCCGAACCAATTCGACTTAGGCTCCTTCGAGATAAGATCGTACCAATTCCTAAAAGGCCGGCAACGTACTTGCGAGCCTTGCGGCAGTGTGAGTGTCCAAATCGTGTGTGCGTTTCTTAAGTCGTGCGTTTAAACCACTGCGCACCGTCTCTATTCATTTGATGCACGCTCGTCGAGATACTTAAAATTAAATAGACCTGAAAATAATTCCAAAAGCGGTACAATTTATTGCCGCGTCCAAAGGATTTAATCACTTAAACGAACTCCTTAGATCAAAATAAACTGCGATTAGCAAAATTAAATTCTGTTTCCATTTTGCTTTGTCGACGAATTAATGTTTTTGCTTCATCTGCCTTTAGGGGATTGATATAAATTGGTTTCAATTAGTGGTTATTTTGATCTAATTAAAGTTATACCAATTATAAAATTAGTCACGAGAAAAACCTTGTCACATTTCAAAACATTTGTTAAGGTTTGATATTTCAGTCAACGTGAGGCTCCAATACCATATCGAAATCTGGTATAATTTTGATTATTTTTCCGACCCAAATATCGACCAATAGAATTGCACCATTCGACGTCACGTGGTACAACCTACATGGTATTATACTGATAATTTTTTGAAAATTTTCTCTGGTAGTTGCTTCAAGAAAAGTATTAAGTAGTTGTTTTATTCATTATGAAATTCTTATTTGTTAACTGTACATTTCGTCTCATGGTGCAATTCTATTGGCCGACATTTGGGTCGGAAAAATAATCCCCCGAATACCACACGAGCTTCAAAATTATCTGGCATTTCCCTCAAGGTTCCCAGCAAACAAATAAAGTCGTCAAGTTTTTCTTCAAGAAAAACTTGACTCCTTCATTTGTTTGCAACGAACCTATCGGGAAATACCCGATAATTTTGAAGCTCTTGTGGTATAATTTTGATAAAATTTATATGTTGTATGTAGTATTATAGTGGGAGGTTCCTCCGACAGGAACGATTCTCGAGAAGTCTAACCACTAATTGGCCTGAAAGTCCCAGTGGCTCAGGAAGGTATATATACAACTTCTCGTATACATACTTATATACAACTTATTTAGGGTATAACGCCATCACGCTGAATGTAAGCGTAGATGATTGAAAAAATTTTATATAGATTAATTTAAGTTATAAATCTGACAAAATCATGAAAACTTAATTTTCTATATAAACATTGACAGCCTGAAACCACCAGTAATAGTTTGCACGTAGTAAATAGACACAGAAAATTGTCTTCCTGCAATTACTAAGTAAAAAAAACGGAATTTAATAATATATTTAAAGGCGATCCCTATTACGATTGCGCAAGCTTTCTGACAGTATTCCCGTAAAAAATGGTTGAAGAAAATAGAAAAATCAGTACTAATCTTTAGAGATATTAACACATAAGTTTTGATAAGCAACATGCCAATTGACAATTTATGTTATTAAAGCAATCTGTTGAAGCCAGTTAAGTCTAAGATATAACCCTCTCTCGTCGTAAACAAGCCATTAATAATTGGTTTTAACCCTTGCTATGTATTATTCATATCTTTAGTAATCCCAACTAGCCTAATGAAAGAGGACAATGCTGCATAAACAAATTTGGACGCACTTACACCGAACTGCAATATCAGTAATATTATAGTACAATAAAACTAATATAATGGGCATAAGTATTGTTATAATAAAGGCCGGCAACGCACTTGCGAGCCTTCTGGCATAGTGAGTGTCCATGGGCGGCGGTATCACTTAACATCAGGTGAGCCTCCTGCCCGTTTGCCTCCTATTACATTAAAAAAAACATAATTATGAAACACATTCTAGATTTATCGTGTACTAAAGACGGTCCCACCGTTCCGGTTTACTGGTCAATCAAAAAGAAACTACGTCCTTTGTGACTAAACCTATCATTCCTATCAGACATCTTTTTATTCCAATATTACTCTAGCGTGGTACGAATTACGGCTTTTCTCCTTCTCATCAGGCGTTTTTTTTCCGGTTTCCTTCCCTCCCAGAGGTTCACCTTTGTGCTTCTGTCAAAACCAAAATATTATTTATCAAGGTCAGTAAAAATAATGCTTCTAAAGTTACATGTGCTGCCAGTTCTCAAAGGCGTAAAACGGACCAAAAAACTGACAAAAAACTCTTCGTCTCTCGTAAATCGCCAAGGTTATTTTACAAAACGTTTATAAGCATCTGCAACTATCGCATCATGCGGCTCATCATTTGTTTATTAGTGTAATTAAATAAAGAAGAAAACTATAGATTTTACTTCTATCAGCAAGGCACAGTTAAATAGGAGCATGCATTTACATTACTGCGGGAACCACACGCCAACATGTAGTGTCAAAGCGAATCAATCCACCTCAAGTTGGAGGCAACTCCACCGCAGCCTGTGCATGCCCACTTCGCAATCGATACACTCCAATAGCACAGTCCACAACCTTTTTTATTCTTATTATTTGATTTATATCACAAAGCATTATTCCTAACATAGCTATTTGCTTAACTCTTGCACTTTGCAAGCTTTTTGCAATAAGGAGACAAATAATATAATTATGTATTGTTTAATTTCATTAAAAACACAAACACAAATACGTCTTATTATTACTTACTGTTAATATGACAGAAAATAGGAAAATATAATAGAAACAATACATTTTGTACGAGGTAATTGGAAGCACGATTATTTGAAAAACATTCGTATGCTATACATTTTATGAGGAAAATTGAACGTTGAAGGTAGTGCGAAAATGACAGTATAGTATTGTCAACAAGATTAACCAATAAAACTATCATAAAGTTCACGCAAACACATGTTTAACATCTTTTTAAACAAAACACATCGCTAATACGGGGTTTTTGCTATAACTAAAATAAGCTGTATTAATAGATTCAATTTTAAGAACACAAATATCTCTGGAGAGTATTTAAGAATTATACAATTCATTGGTCAATAATACACTGTATATAATGAAGTTGTTAGAGAAATATATTTTTACACATAACCTTTGTTTCACAGTTTTTGTTGTTATTGTATACAATAATTTAAAGAGGAAAGATTTGCCTTTAGTAGGTACACGGTGTGATAGAGGAAACTGACCAGGCATATTAAGGAGACCGTAACATTTGATGTCTTGTTCACAATAAAGTTTAAACTTGGGATATTGTTCTCAGTTTGCTCGCCCTAACATCTTCGTTGTAAGTCTTTGAGGTTTATTGAATGATATTAATGAAGTTTACAATATGGTTTATGAACTTTAGTTGTTTCTAAAATAGATTATGTGATAAAGAGTAGATTTGACGCTCCCGTGCTGCGTTGCTTCTCGATCTGCCTGATCGCGTGCCTGTTAAAAAAAAAGAAAAAAAAATAGTTATCTATACTAAAATCGTGGGAAATTACAATTTGCACTTTTTGCATTATCTGTGTAGTGTTTAGAGCATATCAAGACTTCATAAAGTGATAATAAATTAGTGTGCGATTTTATATATAAAAAAAAATATTAATAAATCCTTTGATGATATAGTAAAGCTATCGTGTCTGTGATAAGCATGTATAGGCCAATTATGCGCCTATTTCCCGCGATTTTAGGTTAAGATTCAGAGAAGACTGTATGTATGACTGCCATGTGTCTAAAACATATTAAATTTAACATAAGAACGTTCGGGCTCTGAATGTTGCCTTTGGCGGTCCATACATCTACAATAATATTGAATACCCTCTTTGAATCCAAACGTTCAATATTATTAAGCAATAAGATTGACATTCACGTCAATATTTTCATGAGAGAAACATGTCTGATGTCGAAGTTATGGCTGCAGCCATGCTAGTGGTTTGTTGAGAAAAGGAAAAAAAAGAAAACGAATATGGGCCAATAATGGTTTAAAAAAAACTGCCCTCACTCAGGAAATACTTTTAAAGGACTTAACATTAACTCAAGAAAACGATTTCAAAAACTATACGAGAACGGATATTTCACATACATACTAACCCTACACAGTACAAAAAATACATATTGTGCAATAAAATTTAAGCTCGCTCAAACTTCTGTTCAATCATTGCGCAATTTTTCAATTTTATCCCTACATTGCTAATAATATTGTACAATCAACTATATTGTGTAATATTATTGTAGATGTATGGGCATCCTTATGAAAATAGAGAGTGCACTTATATCAGCACACACACTTGCAAAGTAATTATCGAAATCAATAGAGATAAGCTGCCGTGGCCGATTTGGATATGTGTACTTATCTAAATGTAATTTTCCAAAAATATAAATCGTCAATAAAATAATTACACGTACAACATTTTTATCTAGTAATTTTTGATTAATCCACGTAATCAAATTTGTTTACTATCAATACTTATCATTGTCCTTATCATTCTGTTCATTTCAGTTTCAATTATGCTAGTATGTGGTCGTTAATTTTCTTATTTATTTTTTCTGTGTCAGCGGAGGATTCAAAGACTGTAAAGTTGGATTCAGGATGGGTGGTGGGAAATAAGTACTGGAATGGTGATTATTATGAATTCTATGGAATCCCATACGCAACTGCCCCAACTGGTAGAGATCGGTTTAAGGTGAATATCTATGAATAAAACTATTATATTTAAGATTAATGTTAATTAAAAGTTACTAAGGCTCATGTCTTATAATTACACACTATTAGCCTAACATATTTTTTGTCGCATTCGATTGAAAAAAATTAAATATAAATGACATCTAATCTCAATTATCATATTAAAAGATAATTTTAATGTACAAATCTTTTACTGTAAAGATGTTTTGATTCCCGGTAATCAAAAACCTGCCTGTTTAGAAGTTTTAGCAATCACGCATTGACAACCACGTTGTTGCTTGTAAGAAAGAGACGACATATACGATGACAGTTGCGACTTTAATTTTTTTGAAATAGTACACAAACAAATAACATATTGAATCAGTGGCGCTACAACCTCTTTTAGGTCTTGGCCTCAGATTTCTGAATCTGTTTCATGATCATTTTTAAATCTAGTAGGCAAGTAGGTGATCAGCCTCCAGTGCCTGACACACGCCATCTACTTTTTGGGTCTAAGACATGTCGGTTTCCTCACGATGTTGTCCTTCAACGTTCGAGCAAATGTTAAATGCGCACATAAAGAAAGTCCATTGGTGCACAGCCGGGAATCGAACCTACGACCTTAGGTATGAGAGTCGCACGCTGAAGCCACTAGGCCAACACTGCTCACACATATAACATATTAATGAATAATAATCAATTTCAGGCTCCCTTGCCTGTAACACCTTGGGAAGATGTACTTGCTGCCAGTGACACTAATAAGCGTTGTAAGCAGTGCTATTACACTGATGCTTCTGACGAAGACGTTGTACTTGATGGAGACGAGGACTGCCTCGTTATAAACGTCATCACTCCAACAATAGCTAGTGAAACGAATCCGGTACCTGTTCTAGTTTACATTCACAGTGGGGCATTCGCAGGTGGTACTGGAAATATGGCCAAGTTCACTTATTTAGCAAGGCACGATATCATTGTTGTAAGCTTCAATTACAGAGTGGGAGCTTTAGGTTTTGCCTGTTTAGGTAATGAGGATATACCTGGAAATGCTGCATTAAAAGATCAAGTGGCAGCTTTGCGTTGGATAAAAGCGAACATACATAAGTTTGGAGGAGATCCAGATAAGATAACTTTAGCAGGATTCAGTGTGGGTGCATCTATGGCTGAACTTCTTGCGCTGTCAAAGGCTGCGGATGGATTAATAAATCGATTAATATTAGAAAGTGGTAGTGCGCTTGCCCCTTTTACAATAAACCGAGATCCAGTCAGTACTGCATGGAATATAGCACAGGCAATGGGTTACAATGGCGCTGCGAATATAGACGAGTTAACTGAATTTTATCTTACTGCTAATATAAAAGATTTAGCACTTAAAAGTTTAAACTATTTCCTACCAAACAGCACATTTGGTTTTGCGCCGTGCATTGAAAGAGACCAAGGGCTTGAACGGATTGTAACTGAATCACCTTTAGATACTTTAAAAAAAGGAGACTTCAAGAAAATACCAGTTTTAACTGGTTTCTCTAATATGGAAGGTTTGAGTCGATCAATTAAGTTTGGAACATGGAGAGAAGAAATGAATGAAAACTTTTCTGATTTCTTACCAGCTGATTTAAAATTTAAGACTGAGGATGACAAAAATGAAGTCATAAAAGAAGTTAAAAAGTATTACTTTCATGACAAGGTAATTAATCGCGAAAGTCTTCAGAACTATATAGATTACTTTTCAGATATTATGTTCAAGTATTCTATAATGAAGTCAGCTCAACTACACTCTTCTATATCTAATAACCCTGTATATTTATATGAATTTTCATATGTTGGAAAACTAAATATTCAACATAATTATATGGATCGAATAAAAGGTGCGAGTCATAGAGATCAAACTGCGTATATCTTAGATTTTTACGGTTTTACAAATAATTACAAAGACTTAACAACAAGAGATAGAATGACAACAATGTGGACCGACTTCGCTCAATATGGGTAAGGGCTTTTTTTAATATTCTATAAAAATACTGAAATGTGACTTTACGAATAATAATAATATTAATTAGTAATCGCTTGCCTAAACTCACGCTGGCTCCAGGTTGCTTGTGTAAAATGGTATTACTTGAGGGAGGCCTATACCTGTGTTATGTTTGTAACCTTTTACCTTTATGAATAGTATATTTTCAGTAAATATAAAATTTATTTCCAGGAATCCTACTGAATATGAAAGCGCACTACTTACTGTGAAGTGGCCATGTTACACGAAAAAATCACCAATGTATTTAGAGATCAACAAAAATTTGCAAGTGAAAAAAGGACTTTTTACTAATGGATTTAAGTTTTGGGACCAAATTTATAGTAAATATCATTGGGATCCTCAACCAGTAAATCCAGAAATAATAAAGAAAGAGAGTAACAATGATTATAAAACAGCGGATAAGAAAGAAAAACAAGTGATTTCTGATAACATTGAAAACACAACAGATAATTCAAGCAAGGGACAATCTAAGAATAAAGAAGAGAATGAAAACAAAATCGAAAAACAGCCAACACTGAAACGCACTACAACTAAAATCAAAAGAGGAAAAGACGGTAAACTTGTTAAAGAAGTTATAACTGAGACTAATAAAAATACTGACAAAGTTGAAACTGAAACTAAAGATACGAAAGAAAACCCACAAAATGAGAAATTGAATTCGGATGAAAATACTTCACGTGAAAACAAAATTGAAAATCAGTCAACACTGAAAAAAACTACAACTAAAACTAAAAGAGGAAAAGACGGAAAACTTGTTAAAGAAGTTATTACTGAGACTACTCAAAACACTGAAAAAGTTGAAGCTGAAACTAAAGATATTAAAGAAAATCCACAAAATGATAAATTGAATTCGGATGAAAGTACTTCACGTGAAAACAAAATCGAAAAACAGCCAACACTGAAACGCACTACAACTAAAACCAAAAGAGGAAAAGACGGTAAACTTGTGCAAGAAGTTATAACTGAGACTAATGAAAACACAGAAAAAGTTGTAACTGAAACTAAAGATACGAAAGAAAACCCACAACATGAGAAATTTAATTCGGACGAAAATACTTTACGTGAAAACAAAATTGAAAATCAGTCAACACTGAAAAAAACTACAACTAAAACTAAAAGAGGAAAAGACGGCAAACTTGTTAAAAAAGTTATAACTGAGACTTATGAAAATGGTAAAAAAGTTCAAACTGAAACTAAGGATTCGAAAGATATTAAACAAAGTCCACAAAATGAGAAATAAAAAATTGAGGAAAATGTAAAAGAAAATCAAGAAGATAAAAACTAAAACAAAGGGAAAAGTGAACGGCAAACAAAAAACAATGCATGATGTAAAACATCAAGATAGGTTTAAATATTGTGTACTAAACTTCGTATTAAGTTTATGTTTACGACCAAAATAATAAACATAATATGTAGTTATATTACTATTTCGATCGATTGACTTCGAAACTTCTGGTTAAAATGTTTTATTATACTTTAGATAGCTAAATAAAAGCATTTTATATGTTGTATAATCATTGCAAATAATCATTGCTGACAATTTCGACGGTTTTACTTTTCTTGGCCAGTAAGAGCGTCGCTGTCATGCTATGCTGTCATATTAGTATTGCCAGTAAATAAAAATTAACCATTATAAGGGGAATAATTTGCATTGATGCAGGCTATCTTAATATTTCTATAAATGTCTTAATAAAACAATGTATAATAGTATCTAGAAAATACAGCTGTTCTAGGCCTCAATAAATATCACTTAGGAACAACTGATATAATAGGTTTCGTTACCTGTACTATTGAATACATAATATCAGAATACCTACCAATCAGCATTCAGCACCGTTCGATAATAAAAACTTTGAAATTGTAATTAATAATGCAAGGAATAAAAATAAATACACTTTAGTCGGATATTTATTATGTTGGTAGATAAAAAAAAATTATTATACGCATCATGAAATTGCAGAAAATAAACATATGTGGCACTGTACATATAAATAATGTCTATAATATTAATGTACAATACAAATACAGTACAAATGTGTGTAAAATACATTTTTTTTTATTGTTAAAATATTTAAAAAGATACATTTATAGAATATTCAAAAACTTTTTTGTCTATAACAATTGAAAACCATGACTTAAACGATAAATAATAATATATAATAATACGTTATATTTAATTTTAAACAGTATTTAAAATACATAAACATCTGAAATTTGATTTAAGTTTTGTGATGAAATACTCAGTATCGGGATATGACAGAATTAATATGAATAATAAGAATGGTATTGATTATTCGCTTTATCATTCACTACTTCACTTCATTTACTTTCCTAGCGGCTTGATCCCTTGGCGTTGCGTAGAGATGTGGATCACTCTGCATCTTCTACCGTATTCACCATGGAGAGTGTTCAGAGGAGTTGTTCGGATCAATACCTGCAACTGAGTTTCATCGTCGGACGTCAAGGCAGAATACGAAATTTTACCCGTATCACCTCGACGTCCGTCGTTGCAAAACTGAGCGTTCTTTAAGGCAGTTTTTGCCGTCCACCACCACTATGTGGAACCAGCTGCCCACTGAAGTAATTCCGATTTAATTCGACTTAGGATCCTTCAAGTAAAGAGCGAACTAATTCTTAAAAGGCCGTCAACGACTCGCGAGGCCGTGTTAAAAAAAATACTTGCCATTCGGTTAATCATGTCATAAAAGATGCTGCCTTCTACTTGAAGGTCCAGTTAATTTACCGCAAAAACCCTAATTCTGCAATGAAACCGCAAAATTAGGCAGACCCAATTATACATTATTAGATTAGATAACGGGTCATCAAACTTCTTAAAATAAAATGAAATTCACATTGTGGATCATCATATTTCAGATTAATAAAGCCGCTAATTCTCGAGCCAATTTTCCTGCATACTCGAAATTGATACCTTAAATAGCTTAATGAAAGTTGGTAATCCGCCACCAAATTACCTCTCTGCCTCTCCCAGGCCACAGCGGGCTATGTGAGGCACGCTGCTCGTGTCATCGGAACATTTCCTGGCATCCAATATTGACATGGCTCTTATACAGGTTGTTTCGTTAAAGAATAGTTATGAATCGTTTTCGCGTAGTTTTATTTAGACGGACTGATAAGAATAAGATATTAGGGAAAACCAAAGACAATTGACGGGAAGACAGACAAAGTGGATGTGGATTGTGTATGTTTTGAATTTGAATTTGACGTTGAGATCTGTGACATAATGACAATGGTAGCTGACAGTGACGCCATTGCTTCGACATTTTAAATTACTTTTAATAATAATAACGACTCAGACAGGAATCACTATTACCATTCAGTGTCAAATAGTCATATCACTTTGATGTTGTTAATTTATGAGCTCTGTGACATATTGACAATTGTAGTTGACAGTAATGTAATTTCTACATCTTTAGTATAAGAATTCTATTAAATAAAAACAAATAGTTTATTTAATAAAATATTATAATTAAACTAAACCACACAAAATTCAAAAAACACAGTACATCTATAGCCGTGGTCCTACGCTGCCACATTTGTTTCGCCATCTCTGCGGCTGACCGACGTCATCTCCTAGGTCTGAGTATGTCAAAAAAGTATCGAATTTAATATATGGGAGTCATCGTGCGTGTAAGACATGCTGGCTTCTTTAAAATATTTGGTGTATTTTATTACTTTCACTGAACGTAAGTGCAAAGTGCTCACATACTCGTAGAAAGAAACATGAAAAACTAATACTGACTAATAACGTCAAACTTAAGGTGCGCTTACACGGGCAACTAAAATTGCTCAATTCCAGTCAATACTCGTCAACTATGACGTCACGACTACATCAAGCAATTTACGGCAACGGCAACAAGCATCAATACTGCGCAATACAATCTTGAGCGATATGGCGGAACTTCATCAACTAGGAAATACTGTCCTACACGAGCAATTCAGTATTCGCTCGCAATAGACGACATTGTTCTTGCTGCGGCGGCTTGTAGCGCTTTCTTTATTATTAATCAAAAACAAAAAGAAAGAAAAGGAATAGGCGTATCTGGGTGCGATCGTTTTTGGCCGCAATTTTCATTGTGTAAAGAATTAGATGATATATTATTCAAAAACTTTACAAGAATGTCACGAACAGACTTTTAATTACTTTTGAATAAAGTTACGAAACAGACGACCAACATGAGAGAACCAATTTCTGCATCAACAAAACTTGCTTAAACCCTTCTCCGCGGAAGCAAGACGGCAAGCCGCAAAACAAACAAGTGCGAATGAGATATATACAAAAATTGCTAGGAATTTCCAAGTCCATTGGATATTCGTCAATTCGTATCTGCGACATTGAGCGATATGAAATATCTGGAGCAATTAGAAGCAATATCGCCGAAATAATTTATTGAAATTGCTCCATTAATTGCTCCAGATCGGTCCATTCGTGTCGCCGAGCAATTATTGCCCTCGTGTAAGCGTACCTTTAGGGTTCTTAAAATACCGTACCAATTCTATAAAGGCCAGCTCACTGGCATTGAGAGTGTCCTACCCGTTTGCCCCCTATTAAATACATATATATATATTTCTTACGTCAATGACCATAGCAGGAAATTGAGCACGCAACACTTAGACGTTAGAAATTAGGAGTCACTTGCAATCACTGACCTAACATAGCTCCTAAAAAAATATTAAGTGAACAACCCGTATAACAGTCGGAGCATTCCGGAAACACCGACGTTAAGCAAACCGAACCGAGATTCTCGCGCCAGGAATAACGTCACTAGATATACTCTGCGGAAGTCTATTTCTCCTATGCCTATTATTATATTTTATATATAAGATAAAATTCAGATGCAGTTCCAAAGTGAATGTAATATGAAGCGTATATTAAATGTTTTCTATTAAGGCAAACGCTGCGATCCAATATTAAAAATATTTTAAATTTTATTGTAAAAGCTACGCTAAGCTTTAATAACATTTAATAGTACAACTTAATATTAGAATTGGAATCGTTGTTGGAAGTTGCATGGTAGCCTTGCAGATCTATTACAGAAGGTACCACTTAAAATGTATACCTCGTACATATCCCGCATCTACCCCAAATCTAATCCAAAACCCAAAATGAATTCGTACAAAAATGACAGGACAAATTTAAATTCTGCCTACGTTTTTCTAAATTGACAATACAGAACGATTGGTCGTAAATTAAATAAACTCACAATGGGGCGTTAAATAGTACTCGAAAACCTTTCAATTTCCCACTTGTCATTTACAATGGGACTGTGTGATTGCTTCTTTATACGTAGGGGCTCGTAATAATTTGTATCGACAATATGTATGTTTTTTTTTGAAATTATACTTCTTTTGGCGCGTTAGGTAAAAATGATGAGAGTAAATTTGTACGATTCGCGCGCACACCGTCACAAAAAACCGACACCCGCACACCATCACAAAACGCCGACACCCTGAAGTTAGCTATATAGTCAAAATTTTAGTTTTTTTGAAATTATACGTCTTTTGGCGCGTTAGGGATGATGCGTGCGACTCTCATCCCTGAGGTCGTAGGTTTGATCCCCGACAGTGCACCAATGGACTTTCTATGTGCGCATTTAACATTCGACCGAATGGAGAAGGAAAACATCGTGAGGAAACCGGCTTGCCTTAGACTCAAAATAGTCAAGTCCAGCACAGGAGACTGCCTACTTGCCTATTAGATTGATGAAACAGATACAGAAATCTGAGGCCTAGACCTAAAAATAACAACAACGGCCAATGTTTATTTTTGTGTATTTATAATTCTGAATAAGTTTTGAATAAAACATAATGGTTAATAAAATTTGATGATAAAAATATATTTTTTTGCTACACGATTAAACTAGTAGCTGTATTAATTTAATTTAATAAAGAGACTTACTAATTAATATTACTATTAAAAAGTAAAAAACTCAAGAATTAATTTTCTTAATTATAGCTATAGGCTGTACTTACTCCGCAAACCACAACCTAGCACTCAGGAATATTAAAATAACCGCATATTTCAAAAGCTCGGCTTTAATCATAGAATTTTATTTCACAACTTGAATTACACCTTGGCTCTGAATATTAGCGGAGTTAACTGTAGCAATTAGAATTAGAAATATAGTATTACAAAAGATTTAATATTAATTAATTTGTTATTTAAAAGTATAAAACAATTTTAATTGTATAATATTATTACTATTAAACACAATCACGTAG